GGGGGTGCGCGGGTCACCACGAGAGGCCCCTACAGCGACTATGCTCTTCTCGGCCGCTAGGAGGGACTTCTCGAGGAGGTCAACAGTGAGAGTGGTGGGACAGACAGAGAGAAAGTGGTCCCTGACTACGCGAAGGGAGTCAGGAAGGCGAGTGACTATGTAGTAAAGAGTGATGTACATGGGGGGGGGGTTCTTGGCGCAGAAGTCAGCAGGGAGTGCAGCGCGGTAGCGAGTGTCACTAGTGCGGAGGTGCGTAATGAGGTCAGCGACTGTGGGAAAGGCAGCAAGGTCAGGAAAGAGGTACGGTAGCATGAGACGGCTCAGTGCAGCAGTGGCAGGGGAGGAGTAGCGCGCAACTACAGCGTCGTACAAGGTCTGAGCACTCTTGTACTGACTAAAGTGTGCACGCTCGGAGGTAGGGAGGTGGCGACGCACAGCAAGACGTGCAGCAGCGTCGCGCGTGGCCCACTGGGAGCGAACAGTGGCGTCGGCGTCAGCAGCAGGGGCAGTGGAGGCGCCAGAGGTGAGGTCAAAGAGAGAGAGACCATCTGCCCTATCGCACTGTAAGAACAGCTGCAGGTCATCCACCCAGACCTCAAAGTCAATGGCTCGACCCTCAGCGTCAAAGACTAGAACACTAGGGGTAGCCATGACCCTAGACGACTGGCAGCGCAAACAGTAGGGTGAGGGCAGTGCAGTGAAAGGGCGCTGTGCTCACCAGACTGGACAGGTCGGGCGGCCCGGAAGGAGGGCGGCGCGGCGGCTCGGCGGCTCGGCTGCCGGGCGGCTCGGCGGCTCGGCGGCTCCGCTGCTGGGCGGCACGGCTGCTGGGCGGCTCGGCTGCTGGGCGGCTCGGCTGTTGAGCGGCTCGGCTGCTGGGCGGCTCGGCTGCTCTGCTGTCGGGCTGCTCGGTTGTGCTGCTGAGGGGCAGCACGGCTCGGGCTGCTCGGGCGGTGCGGGCGGCTCGGGCGGCTCGGGCGGCTCAGCTCCTCAGCGGCACAGGCGGCGTGGGGACCGAGACGGCGGCGCGCGGCTGGGACGGGCGGCGCACGGGCGGCGTGGGGCCGAGACTGCGGTGCGCGGCCGGGACGGGCGGCTCACGGGCGGCGTGGGGCCGGGACGGGCGGCGTGCGGGCGTCGAGGGGCCGGGACGGGCGGCGCGCGGGCGTCGAGGGGCCGGGACGGGCGGCGCGCGGGCGTCTAGGGGTCGGGCCGGGTGGCGCGCGGGCGTCTAGGGGCCGGGACGGGCGGCGCGTGGGCGTCGAGGGGCCGGGACGGGCGGCGCGCGGGCGTCTAGGGGCCGGGACGGGCGGCGCGCGGGCGTCTAGGGGCCGGGACGGGCGGCTCACGGGCGGCGAGGGGCCGGGACGGGCGGCGCGAGGGCGTCGAGGGGCCGGGACGGGCGGCGCGCGGGCGTCGAGGGGCCGGGACGGGCGGCGCGCGGGCGTCTAGGGGCCGGGACGGGCGGCGCGCGGGCGTCTAGGGGCCGGGACGGGCGGCGCGCGGGCGTCTAGGGGTCGGGCCGGGTGGCGCACGGGCGTCTAGGGGCCGGGACGGGCGGCGCGCGGGCGTCTAAGGGGCCGGGACGGGCGGCGCGCGGGCGTCTAAGGGCCGTGACGGGCGGCTAAAGGGGCCACTAGGGGCCAAGAGAGAGGGGAGCGCGACTCGGGTAGGGGCAGAGTGCGCTCCGGGCAGGAAAAAAAAAAAAAAAAACGGTGGGCCCTAGGAACAGTTCCCACGAGGGAACCTGCTCGATACCATGAGAAGAATGAAGAACGAGGACGAATGAACTATGAATGAGGTGAGTACATATAGAAAACCCTAATTGGGTTGTACCCCCTATGGGATACCCCACTATAGCCTACACAACAGCATAAGCTATATAATGTTCTGACAGTGGGGTGGGCACACCGGGCCCCAACGGTGATGGCGAAGATGCAGAATTGGGATCGGCGTTTTTAGGTGGTGGCCCACCTATTGGCACATCAACGGTTCGCGAACCGTCCACTCCTACGCGAGGGTTGTTTCGCCCACCTAACATCTCCCCATTTTCACCAGCAACCCCCCCTTCCAGCTCATTAGTCCGGGCGTGCCCGCACATCCAGATTCGTGGGCACGTACAAGACGTCGCCCCGTTCCCAGAGTACGCCCAAGATGAGTTCGGCGACCCTTATCTATAGGTTGGTGGTTTTAAACATAAGTCATTATGTTTTATTCATGGTGTCATTGTGTTCCATTAAATTGTATTCCCTGTGTTGTACCTGTCCCCTTCCCAGACGACTCATCGTGACGCGGACGTGGATGAGCGTTTTCCGTATGACGTCCGTGCCCCATTTAAACGTGTTCGCAAAGTCCCCGTTCGGTGAGCTCATGTTTGTTTAAGCCGGCTTTTTCATTGTGTACTATGAAATCATCCTATCTATTGGTTCACATGGTTTTTCCCTCTACAGTTACCGGGACTACTCTCATGACCTCGGGTCTTGATGTTGTCATGGAGTTTCAGGAGCTCCACAACTCCTTGGTACGTTTGCACCACGACTCTTCCATCCTCTTCCTTCCTTTTCTACCCCCTACCCTACACTTCCTGCACCTCCCTGCCCTTTCTTATTAGTTCCCATCTCACCCCTGCGGGTGCTCGAACTGCTGGGCTGAACGGTGAGTGGGCTAGCTAAAGCGGTGAGTGGGCAAGCTAGAGCGGTGAGTGGGCAAGCTAGAGCGGTGAGTGGGAAAACTAGAGCGTTGAGTGGGCTGGCTAGAGCGGTGAGTGGTGACAGCTAGAGCGGTGAGTGGTGTAAGCTAGAGCGGTGAGTGGGCAGGCTAGAGAAGTGAGTGGTGTATGCTAGATAATGTGAGTGCTGTAAGCTAGAGCGGTGAGTGGTGTAAGCTAGAGCGGTGAGTGGTGTAAGCTAGAGCGGTGAGTGGTGTAAGCTAGAGTTGTAAGTGGTGTATGCTAGAGCTGTGAGTAGGCAAGCTAGAGCGGTGAGTGGGCAAGCTAGAGCGGTGAGTGAGCAACCTAGAGAGGTGAGTGGTGTACGCTAGATAATGTGAGTGTTGTGGACTAGAGCGGTGAGTGCTGTAAGCTAGAGCTGTGAGTGGTGTAAGCTAGAGCCGTGAGTGGGCTGGCTAGAGCAGTGGATTCCATCCCGCTCTCTTCAGTTTCCCCACTGACCGTGCAGTTCCCCCCCTGCTCCCCTCAGTTACACCCCTCCACACTTCATTTTCCCCCCTGCTCTCTTCCGTTTGCCGCTTGCTCCCTTTAGTTACCCCCCTGCTCCATGCAGTTTCCCCCCTGCACTCTCCCCCCCTGCACACTGCAGTCCCCCCCCCCCTCCCAACCCTAAACCCCTGCACCTTCCCCCCTGCACACCGCAGTTTCCCCCCGCCCACCCTGCAGATTCCCACTTGGGAAAACGCAGCTTCCCCCCCGTGTAGAGCAGGTTTCCCCTTGCACCCTGCAGTCTTCGTATGTCTCCTCTCATTCTTTATATTGTCCCCTTTCCCGTTGTTGCTTCCTCCCATTCCTTCTTAGCATCATCACCCTTATGTTGTTTCACCTCCAGCGTCTATCACATTCTCCCCCGTTCCCTGACTGTTTCAGGCACAAGTGTATGCGGAGGTTTCAGGCTTCCACTCCCTCTCATTCCACATTGGCATGACATCTCCGTCCTCGGCATTTGGAGTTGACTACTTTTCCTGTTGGGCTAGAGTGGGTGCTTATATACTATGCTTAGTGGCATGGTCCTGCACATAGTGCAATGCATTTAGACATTTTGCTGCATGTCTCTGACAATAATACCGTCATGTGCGTTCATGAGTGACAACATTTAGTGGAGCTAGCATTAGGATAGCTAACATAACATGCGAAATCAAGACCCTAATGATCAACCCTGAGAATGATTGTTGTAGGTCGCACTAAACCACGCCTCTTCTACCCGCCCCACATTACAAATTCACGAAGCCCATGGTGCAAAATGTTCACAAAGTGGCTACGATGACATGGCATCCCAAGAGCGGGCTTCAAAATCAATCTCATTCGGGATTTTCCACACATGGAGGAAGTACTCGATATCGTGCGCACAACACTCTAGGTACCCCGCATCTCCCTTCTCCGGATACAAAGAACCGATAGCAACGTATACTATCCATGGTAGAGTGACCTTGCCGTGTTCACGTACACTTAGGTCCGAGTAGTCAAGGTAACACCTGAACCTATGGTGTTTTGGCTCCATAACTGACCCATCTGCAGATTCACTCGTGTTTGCACCACAACACACACGCACCAGGGCTTCAACCGTCCGCCCGGCTGTACTCATCATCTGCACCTGGTTGTCAAATGGCAGGCCCAACGAGCTAGCACCCCACTGTTCAAGCACTTCATACTGCTTAGGGAAGGCACGGGCAAAATGGGGCAAAGACCAGCTGTATAATAGGAGAACCCTGACAGGGGGCTTTCGAGTTGGTTGGGGTATGCGACGAATGCATTGGGTTTGTCGGATGCGCGGCGGTGAGGGCTGGCTCGTGCTCAAACGACACTTGCTCATGGTGGGGCTGCTAGCACCAACTTCTGTCAGAATCCCAACCACTAGACCATTGGGATAAAAGGGCTTGTTAAGTGGCGGGTCAGTGCGCCCATAACCCCCCAGGCCAACATGCCTGTAACCCTTCCTTAGAATCAATCGGGGATCACCAGTGGACCTCTGACACCCCCCCGCACTGGGATGCCCGAAGTGCACACGCTGGGATTCGAACCCGAGACCTTCGCTCTGATACCATGTCAGAATCCCAACCACTAGACCATTGGGATAAAAGGACTTGTTAAGTGGCGGGTCAGTGCGCCCATAACCCCCCAGGCCAACATGCCTGTAACCCTTCCCTAGAATCAATCGGGGATCACCAGTGGACCTCTGACAACTTCGTCAACCTCCACACCAGCCTCATCCACTTCAACCAACTGATTCACCCTGCCCAGAAGCCCACGCCGTCGCTTCAACATGTTTTGCTCACTGCATGAAGGGACACAACAAGGCACCGATGTTAGCTACAGGCATACATACACAATGCTGCCATGGTGTGCGAGGGTGCAACCCACCTGGGAGTGAGACGTCGCCGGAGTGTGCGATGTATTTTGGGACGTGCACTGCTGCCATGGTGTGGGGCTGAGGGGCAACACACACCTGCGGATTGGAGTGGAGGAGGGATATAGCAGGGAAAGGGCATTGCTGTCATGGAAGCAAGGAAGGGGACATGGGGAAGGAGGGAAGGGGAGGGGGGAAGCAGAAAACCGGATGGGGGGAAGCAGGGCTTGGGATAAGGGGAAAGAATGAAGAGGATGGGGGACGCAGGGAGGGGGTTGGGGGGAAGCACGGAAGGGGATGGGGGGAAGTAGGGCACGGGATGGGGGGAAGCAGGGAAGGGGATGGGCGGAAGCAGGGAGGGGGATGGGGGCGAGACGGGAATCTGGTGGGGGGAAGCAGGGAAGGGGACATGGGGTGGCAGGGAAGGGGAGGGGGGAAGCAGAAAACCGGATGGGGGGAAGCAGGGCTTGGGATGCGGGGAAAGAATGAAGAGGATGGGGGATGCAGGGAGGGGGTTGGGGGGAAGCGGGGCAGGGGAGGGGGGGAAGCAGGGAAGGGGACATGGGGAAGCAGGGAAGGGGAGGGGGGAAAGCAGAGAAGGGGACATGGGGAAGGAGGGAAGGGGAGGGGAGAAGCAGAAAACCGGATGGGGGGAAGCAGGACTTGGGATAAGGGGAAAGAATTAAGAGGATGGGGGACGCAGGGAGGGGGTTGGGGGGAAGCAGGGAAGGGGATGGGGGGAAGCAGGGAAGGGGATGGGGGGAAGCAGGGCACGGGATGGGGGGAAGCAGGTAAGGGGATGGGGGGAAGCAGGGAAGGGGATGGGGGCGAGACGGGAATCTGGTGGGGGGAAGCAGGGAAGGGGATGGGGGGAAGCAGGGAAGGGGACATGGGGTGGCAGGGAAGGGGAGGTGGGAAGCAGAAAACCGGATGGGGGGAAGCAGGGCTTGGGGAGGGGGGGAAGCAGGGAAGGGGATGGGGGGAAACAGGGTAGGGGAAGGGGGGAAGCAGGGAAGGGGAGGGGGGGAAGCAGGGAAGGGGAGGGGGGGAAGCAGAGAAGGGGACATGGGGAAGGGGGGAAGGGGAGGGGGGAAGCAGAAAACTGGATGGGGGGAAGCAGGGCTTGGGATGCGGGGAAAGAATGAAGAGGATGGGGCATGCAGGGAGGGGGTTGGGGGGAAGCGGGGAAGGGGATGGGGGGAAGAAGGGCACGAGATGGGGGGAAGCAGGGAAGTGGATGGGTTGAAGCAGGGAAGGGGAGGGGGGGAAGCAGGGCACGGGATGGGGGGAAGCAGCGAAGGGGATGGGGGGAAGCAGGGAAGGGCATGGGGGGAAGCAGGGGAGGGGATGGGAGGGAGCAGGGAAGGGGAGGGGGGGAAGCAGGGAAGGGGAGGGGGGGAAGCAGAGAAGGGGACATGGGGTGGCAGGGAAGGGGAGGGGGGAAGCAGAAAACCGGATGGGGGGAAGCATGGATCGGGATAAGGGGAAAGAATGAAGAGGATGGGGGACGCAGGGAGGGGGTTGGAGGGAAGCAGGGAAGGGGATGGGGGGAAGCAGGGCACGGGATGGGGGGAAGCAGGGAAGGGGATGGGGGGGATCAGGGCACGGGATGGGGGGAAGCAGGGAAGGGGATGGGGGGAAGCAGGGAGGGGGATGGGGGCGAGACGGGAATCCGGTGGGGGGAAGCATGGAAGGGCATGGGGGGAAGCAGGGGAGGGGATGGGAGGGAGCAGGGAAGGGGAGGGGGGGAAGCAGGGAAGGGGACTAGGGGAAGCAGGCCAGGGGAGGGGGGGAAGCAGAGAAGGGGACATGGGGTGGCAGGGAAGGGGAGGGGGGAAGCAGAAAACCGGATGGGGGGAAGCAGGGATCGGGATAAGGGGAAAGAATAAAGAGGAAGGGGGTCCGAGGGAGGGGGTTGGGGGGAAGCAGGGAAGGGGATGGGGGGAAGCAGGGCACGGGATGGGGGGAAGCAGGGAAGGGGATGGGGGGGAGCAGGGCACGGGATGGGGGGAAGCAGGGAAGGGGATGGGGGGAAGCAGGGAGGGGGATGGGGGCGAGACAGGAATCCGGTGGGGGGAAGCAGGGAAGGGCATGGGGGGAAGCAGGGGAGGGGATGGGAGGGAGCAGGGAAGGGGGGGGGGGGGGAAGCAGGGAAGGCGACTAGGGGAAGCAGGCCAGGGGAGGGGGGGAAGCAGAGAAGGGGACATGGGGTGGCAGGGAAGGGGAGGGGGGAAGCAGAAAACCGGATGGGGGGAAGCAGGGATCGGGATAAGGGGAAAGAATAAAGAGGAAGGGGGCCCGAGGGAGGGGGTTGGGGGGAAGCAGGGAAGGGGATGGGGGGAAGCAGGGAGGGGGATGGGGGGAAGCAGGGAAGGGGATGGGGGGAAGCAAGGAGGGGGTTGGGGGGAAGCAGGGAAGGGGATGGGGGGAAGCAGGGAAGAGGATGGGGGGAAGCAGGGAGGGGGATGGGGGGAAGCAGGGAAGGGGATGGGGGGAAGCAGGGAGGGGGTTGGGGGGAAGCAGGGAAGGGGATGGGGGGAAGCAGGGAAGGGGATGGGGGGAAGCAGGGAGGGGGATGGGGGGAAGCAGGGAGGGGGTTGGGGGGAAGCAGGGAAGGGGATGGGGGGAAGCAGGGAAGGGGATGGGGGGAAGCAGGGAGGGGGTTGGGGGGAAGCAGGGAAGGGGATGGAGGGAAGCAGGGAAGGGGATGGGGGGAAGCAGGGAAGGGGATGGGGGGAAGCAGGGAAGGGGATGGGGGGAAGCAGGGAGGGGGTTGGGGGGAAGCAGGGAAGGGGATGGGGGGAAGCAGGGAAGGGGATGGGGGGAAGCAGGGCACGGGATGGGGGGAAGCAGGGAGGGGGATGGGGGGGAGCAGGGAGGGGGATGGGGGCGAGACGGGAATCTGATGGGGGGAAGCAGGGCAGGGGATGGGGGGAAGCAGGGAAGGGGAGATGGGGAAGCAGGGAAGGGGAGGAGGGGAAGCAGATGGGAAGGGAGGCGGGAGGGAAGGCGAAGGCGACGAGCAGTGGATGGATGGGCGACGGGAAAAGCGAGGGCGACGGGTAGCGTCGCAAGGGCGACGGGGAAGGCGAGGGCGACGGGGAAAGCGAGGGCGACGGGGAAAGCGAGGGCGACGGGGAAAGCGAGGGCGACGGGGAGAGAATTGACGGATGGACGAAGGGAGGACGACGAGAAGAACGGATGGCGACGGGTTGAAGCGCGGGCGGAGAGAGGGAAGGGGAGAGAATGCGACGAGGAAGGGGAGTGATAGGGGCGGGTAGGGAGTGATAGCAGTGGGGAAGGATAGGGCTAGCGGTGCGTTCTATGGAGAGCTTTCGAGGGGGAAAGGAATAGATAGCGAAGGACCAGGGGAGTGCTTGCGAAGGGGATGCGGAGGGCGGGTTTTGTCCGGAGGGCGGGCGGCACGAAAGGAGAGAGGGTAGGGGAGAGATTGCGACGAGGAAGGGGATGGTAAGGGGGCAGGGAGGAGGTGTGATTGCAGTGGGGAAGGAGCACGCTAGCGGTGCGTTTTACGGAGAGCTTTCGAGGGGGAAATGAATGGATAGCGATGGAGCAGGGGAGTGCTTGCGAAGGGGAAGCGGAGGGCGGATTTTGTGGAGAGGGGGGGCGGCACAAAAGGAGAGAGGGAAGGGGAGAGAATGCGACGAGGAAGGGGAGTGATAGGGGCGGGGAGGGGGTTCGGGCGCACATGGGGGGGGGAACGTGCACGCGAGCGAGAGGGAATGGGAGAGAACGCGACAGCGGAAGGCCGTGAGGTTGATGGGGAATGGGAAAGGTCACGATGGGGAAGGGGAGTGATAAGGGCCGGGGAGGGAGTGATAGCGAATGGGGAGAGAGGGCTGGGGGTGGGGGGGGGGGAGTTATCGATGGGGAAGGGGAGTGATAGGGTGCACAAGGGCAGGTATGAACGCGACAGGGTAGGGGAGTGCTAGCGTGGAGAAAGGGGAGAGATGTAGACGGGGTAGGGGACCACGGGTGGTGGGGACGGGGAGTGATCGCGAGGGGGAGAGGGCGGGCGCGCATGGGGGAAAACGGGGACGCTAGCGAGGGGGATGGGGAGAGACAGCGACGGGGAGTGGTTGCGTGGGGAAATAGGAGCTGTGAATGTGGGGAAGCGCGTAGGGCGATCCAGGGGAATAGGAGTGTGAGCGCGAGGGACAACGGTGATGGCGACAGTGGGGAAGGGGGTGCGATACCGTGCGGGATGCTGCGCGACGCGACGTTTGGGGGAGGCGGAAATATGATACGCGACAGTGATTCATCCGCGTTGTTGTACTCACGCGCGGTTTCGTTGGCGCATCGATCCGCGGCGCCTTCGAAGGTGTCCGCCATGTGCCCATTACCCGCTTCACTCGACATTGCTAATGTTGGCGGGATTTACGTGGGGCGTATGACGAAGGGGAGAGCTGTATTCACAGTGTGTTGCGTCAGTGCTTCTTGTGGCGGGTGAGGAGGCTTGTGAGACAAGTAATGGCGACTGTAATGGGGAGGTGTGTCGGGTGTCGCTCTAGTAATCCCAAGTAGTGAGCGTCGCACTCGCTGGTGTGTCGGACGATGTGTTGGGGGTGTGTGTTTGTCGCTTGGGTTTGTCGTAAGAGTTGTATCCCCTGACGAACCTGTTTGCTTTGGTGTGGGTGTGTCAACAAGATCGGGTGGTAGGTTTGGTTTTGTTTGTACAGTGTTCTGGTTTCGCCCAAATGACCCCTAGTCTCATGCAGAATTTCGCTGCTCGTGGTCCAATCACAAGCATCCCCTCCCAACCAAGTGTAATATGGTAGAAAACGTGAGACGCGGGTTTTAAGGGCCTAAATTTCTCAAAATCGTCGGGCCTAGTTTCTGGACAGAAAAGTCGAGTTCATAAGAAACGCCGTCGACAAAAAGATCACTGTCAAAACTTCACCACACTCAGATATGTTGTAGCTTTGGTCCATGGCTACAATTCCCAATTCGAATCGTATGATAAGGTGAAGTATTTCTTGAGTTATGAATTTCGGCGCACTAGGGGGTATGCTGCCATCGAATCTTAACTCAATCACAAAGTAACTTAAGTTCACTCAAGAAAGTTGAAGTAGCTGAAACCAGGTAGAAGGGGATGAGGAGGACGAGAGGGAAGGTCCCAAGGGAGTCCCCAATCAAGGAAACCCCATGTCACACAATTCCCTCTCTCTAGGCAACCCCAACTTTGACTTTTGTCACTTTCCCAACCTCCACAATCCACCTCACCCAAGTTGGCCACACTTGCCAACCTGGTTTGGCTTCTCCCAACCACTTGGCAGCATCTACAGTGATGTTGACGAATTTCCCAACCCCCAAAAGTCTATACCCTTTATGGAGTTAACCCCACAACTTCCCATAGTCACCACAACCAAATATCAAAAGTATACGAACTTCTAACGTTCGTAACTTTCTTGTTCGTGCTCCGATTGAAGCGATACTTGGTTTGTCCGAAAGCTCTTGAGCAGAGGAGTCACTTCAGATATCTGCTCAAGCCAAATAACATTCACACACACTCAGAAAATCCAAACCACACAAAACACAAATTCTTGCACACGCGCACACCACGCATGCAACGCACGAACATATGATGGGAGGCAGACAGACGTGAATGCAAATGATAGCATCACACAACAAACTCCCCCTCTGGCTGCCTACCATCATCTCACATGTCACAACTCATGCATGGACCCTCAATGCACACTCATCCCGGCAAGCTTCATGCCCTTCCAATCCTCAGGTTCAGCCAGGCGCTTGGTGAGAATGTCAGCCGCCTGCTGATGGGTCTTCACAATCTCCAGCCGCACCTCCTTGTCCAAGAGCATCCTCACCCAGTGCCACGTGGGCCTGATGTGCTTCATCAGCCCATGAAGGCAAGCGTTCTTAGCAAGCTTCACAGCCGACTCGTTGTCACAGAAAATCACAGTTGGCTCCTCCTGGCACACTCCGATCTCCTCCAACAAACGCCTCAGCCACACCACCTCCTTGGCCCCATGATGCAGAGCCATGTACTCCGTCTCACACGAGGACTGCCCCACCTCGTTCTGCTTCTTGCTGCGCCAGCTCACTGCACCACCTCCAAACAGGCACACATAGCCTCCAATGCTGGTGCCATCCGCCTTCACAGAGTTGAAGCTAGCGTCGGTGTAGCAAGTCAGGAGCATTTCCCCCTTGCTCAAATTAGCTGCACCCCTCTGCAGCCTCTGTCGCACAGTACTGTACTCCAAGCCCACTGATGCTGTCGCACTCACATAGCGGACCAACCTCTTGGCCGCTTCTAGCTGCTAATGACTGGGGCGTGAAACCACACTGGCAAGCCTGGATGTACCAAAGGCAATGTCAGGCCGCGTGTGGTTGGCCGCATAGTTGAGCGCCCCAACCATGGAATAAAACAGCTTCCTGTCACTCTCTCCCACCACCTCCTCATCAGCACAGGGCCCCACTGTGAACCCAGAAGGCACTGGGGTGGCTGGCTTCCCTCCATCTTGCAGCCCATACTTCTCGGCCAGCCCCTCACAGTACTTCCTTTCGTGCAACCTCAACACTCCCTTGTCAAGGTTTCTCTCCACATGCATCCCTAGGTAGTACTTCACATCTCCCATCTTCGAGCACTTGAACTACATCTCCAGCATCTCCTCCACACAGTTAATCATTGCAGACGACTCAGAGAAAAGCAGGATGTCGTCCACATACACCAGGAGCATGAGAAACTGCTCCTTCTCTTGCAGCAGGAACAGGCTGTGGTCACACTCACTTTTCTTGAACCCCCAACCAGCAGTGTCTCCTCTAGCTTGTGGTACCATGCGCGAGGAGCCTGCTTCAGGCCATAGATGGCCTTCTTCAGCCTGCACACCCTGCCGCTCCCATCATCCAATCCCTCAGGCTGTAGCATGTACAGCTCCTCCAAAATGATCCCATTGAGGAAGGCGGTGGTAATGTCCATCTGCTTCACCCGCCATCCACGGTTTGCTGCCATTGCCAATGACACCCGTAGTGTTGTGCCTTTCCGCACAGGAGCAAAGATCTCGTCGAAGTCCTTCTCCTTTATCTGCTGAAACCCCTTAGCCACAAGCCTTGACTTTTAGCGGGTCAGCGCCCCATCAGGTTCGTACTTATGCCTGAAAATTAACTTGGAAGAAATGGCATTTTTCCAAGGAGGCAGCTCACACAGCTCCCACGTCTCATTCTCCAGCAGAGAGTCATACTCCTCCTTCACACTCTGCTTCCATTTTCAACATTCGGCCCACTCAGGGCCTCGGTAAGCGTCTTGGGCTCAGGGCTGCCCAGTAGCAGTGCGCTATCTCCTCCTCATCACACTGCTCGACCACACTTCCAGCATGCTCCACATTTCGCGAGCCACTGCGATTATAGCTCAGCCTGATTGGTGGGCGCACATCCCTCCCAGGACGCTCAGGCGGGCGTGGGGCACATGGTGGAGCACGTTGCTGCTGCTGCTGTTGCGGCTGCTGCTGCTGTTGCTGCGGCTGCTGTAGCTGCTGCTCCTGTTGCTCCTCCACCTCAGGTTTTTCTTCATCCTCAGTCGCCCCAGAGATCTCCTCCTCGGAGATAGAAACCTCCACCTGCCTCGAAGGCCACTGCACCTCATCGGCCTCCACAATCAATGGTGTAGCAGGAAGCTTCTGCTGCTGCTGCTGCTTCCACTCCTTGTAGTACAAGGACTCAAGGAACTTCACATCCCTTGACACAGTCAGCTGTTGGCTGGTCAAGTCCCATATCAACCAGCCCTTGTTGTCCTTCGCAAGCCCTGAGTGCACACCCCATCTTCCAGAGGCTTCCAGCTTTCCCCTCTTCTCCTTAGGCACATGAAACACCACCATGCAGCCGTAGGCTCTCAGCATGTTGACTGCTGGTGCACTCCCATACCACTTGGTGTAGGGGACCCACTGCTTGTCCCCCACTGTCGCCAGCACCCTGTTCTTCACAAGAGCGACCTGCCTCAGTGCCGTCACCCAAAACGGATCCGGCAGCCTTGCACGCCCAAGGAGAGTGCGAGCACCTTCCTGCAGGGTCCGGTTGAACCGCTCAGCCATGCCGTTCTGCTGAGGGTTGTAGGGCACCGTGAGCTGATGCTGGATCCCCTTCTTCTTCAACACCACCTCAAAATCAGCGCCAATGAATTCACCCCCGTTGTCAGTGCGGATCACCTTCACCTTGTGTCCGCTCTCCCTTTGAGCTCTCGGCATCCACTCCTTAAGAACAGCCGCTGCCACCTCCCCTTTAGTCTTGAGAGGGTAGACCCACACCGCACGCGTGTGGTTATCCACAATAGTCAGGAAGTAGCGGCTGCCCGAGAGAGAAAGGAGATAGGGCAGCTCCCTATCTCCTTCGCTGCCCCCTTCACCTCCAACCCCTTCAAGCTCCCATCCTTAACCAACTTCTGCAGCATAGGAAAATTCACATGGCATAGCCTTTCATGCCATGTCTCCTAATCGGCCTCACCACTCCCAGGCGAATCCTTTGCCCATGCAGCGCTCCCATCCACACCAGCAAGCACCTCACCATGTGGCTGCTGTCGCTGCTGCACCTTCTTGACTGCATCCAGGGCCCCATCAGTTGGTGCAGTCTCCTCTCCTCCCGCAGTTGCTTTAGCCGTTGCTGCTGCCGCTGCCGTTGCTGGTGGTTTCCCATTCTAAGGAATGATGGGCAGCTGCCATAGGTCCTTGATATAGCTGCTCTTCTCCTCCAAATCCCACAGCAGCAACTTCCCAAGCTTTGCACGGCAGCTGGTTGGGCCGAAGGTCACTTTGGCCTTGCTTTTCTGCAGCCGGCGCACAGAAAGAAGGTTAGCGGACAAACCTTCTACCAGCAACACATTCCCCAGCCCCACTGTCAACGGGAGTTGTTGTTGGCCCTGTCCTCGCTTGGGCGGAGCCGACTACGTGGTCAGGTGTACGAGAGATACAGCCGACTTGCAGCAGTGGGCGACGCCGACTTGGGCGAGCGGGTCGACGGGGTTGGTCGACTTGCACGGGGCCACTGCAATGCCGCCGACTTGGGAAGCCGGCGACCGACTTCAACTGGTGGTCGGGGATGTGGCACGTCGACCTGGAAGTCGGCGCCGACTTGCAAGGTCACCGACTTGCAAGGTCGCCGACTTGCAAGGTCGCCGACTTGCAAGGTCGCCGACTTGCAAGGTCGCCGACTTGCAAGGTCGCCGACTTGCAACGTCGCCGACTTGGGAGGTCGCCGACTTGGTGACGCCGACTTCTGGTAGCCGACTTGGGTGGTCGGCTGACGACTGGGCTGGTCGACGTGGAGCTGGTTGACCAGGAGTGACGTCGACCTGGAGCTGGTCGACCAGGGGTGTGGTCGACCTGGTGAGGTCGAATGGAGGTCGCCGTCGA